TTACTGGCACGTACAGCAGCGTCACTCCTACGTCACTTTCGTAACGAAAGGGTTAATTGCAATTTGAAGTTAATTCTGACAAATAAAATACAGAATAAAAAATTGATAGCTTCCAAAAATATCCTCAGTAGTAATATAAGGTTTTCACTCTCCTATATAGTTTGAAGTTATTGTTTATACTTTAGATGAAGGTGTATTATAATAATTATAATAACACTGCGCGACACTAATTTTTTTCCTGAAATGATATAATGGTTGTTAAGTAATTCGAGGACGCTGATTCCACAACAGTAACATAAATTTTCTAACAGCTCTAGTTTTTGAGATATGCCAATATGCTAATTTTACCTCAAATTACAATAAAAATACAACATATTTCATTTGTGCATTCAAAAGTCTTTTTATATGATTTCAATCATGGACAAGGCCTGACTGATTTTGTCATAAGCTCCAACAATTGTCAACCATCATGTAGATGTCCACCTTCCTTGATATCGCTCCTCCAAAGTCCTGATGTCTTGGTGGATTCTCTCGCCCTGTTCTCGCTAAAATTTCCAAGATTTATCAAAAACCGTTCTGAATAAGAGTGCGGGTGATGAATTCAAACCAATTACATCAAATTTATCTGTTTTTAATCCTTCCTGTCGCCTCTTTAAATATTGGTTTCTACATCCATCACTTGGTAGGCACGAGATGTTGATGTTCTAGGTGTTCATCATTAGCATGGATAGGGTTCTTGTAGTTGATCGTAAGTAGACATCAATACCATAAGGGTTGTGGTTTATGACTATTTGCTTCTATTGCCTGAATTTATTTAATTGATATTTACCATACAGAAGAAACAATCGTCATGGTGATTCTGAAGTTTTTTTCTAAATGACGAGGGCATTAAAATTATAACATTTCTTTTTTCTTCTGGATAATAACTTAAACACACTACGCAATTTTTTCACATAGTATGAAGAACGCAGGTTTCATCTTTATTGCGCATTCAGATAAAGTGGTTAAAATACGATGTCTTTATGCAGTCCGACATAGGTTTTTGTATTTGTCGAAAAAATATTAACCAAAGATGTTACAAAAACTATCTGGATTATGCACACAACGTCTAAAGATCGAAGCCTTACTGAAAACAGCAGATAAAACTCTTAGTTTTTCGTTAAGCTGCGATAATCATAGCCGAAATGACTAATTGGGGTAGTTCCTTAAAACTCAAAACTAGAGCTGTTACGGTATAATGGAAGGTATATTGAAAACAGCGTGCAATTCTAAGTAGATTTAAAAAAAATTAAATAAAAGTGCCATTTTTGTCGTTCAATGTTCAATTAATATTGAACTAAAACAAAATAAAAACTAAATCTGGAATGTTCTTTTAAATTTATATACGCAATATGCAGTCCAATAACATGAACATATGAATGATATAAGATTCCACTAAAATATGTTAATAGACAGATAGATTATTGAAAATTTTTATTATTAGAAATTCAAGCCATGCCAATAATTTATCCCGATTAATTATTTTTACGCATCCAATGTATAGAGAATAAGGTGAGTCAAAAAACAAAATAGAGTAAAAAACATATTCTAAACCAGTTGTAGTTCTGATTGCAATACGTCTTATAATTATACTTGTATATTTTGACTATTATTACCAATTAAACAAATGTTAAAACTTAGTGTTTCTATGCCAATGTCTAAAAAACATGAAAATCAATGTGGTATTTTTTTAGCAATTTTAACTACACTTAAGTATTAAACCAATTCTAAATATGATACACTTGAAACTTAAGATCCACTCTAAAACGGAATGTTGAAAGAAATAAATTTATGCTTTTTCATAATAAATAAATAATAAATTTCAAAAAATTATATAAGATATTTATTACAAAAATTATGAAACATCAATGAATAAAATTATTTTACCTTCAGCTAAAAAATAATTCATATACTTATAGTAAAAATGATTTTCAAGAAAAGGGGTCACTTTCGCATTAATTAACTATTTCCCATTAAATCTGTGAAATAAATGATAAATTAGTATACAGTCAATCTTCCTATAACGCGGTATAATATGGAAACCGGCTTTCGCGTTTAGAGCTAGTACAAATCACATCATTGTATTGAATGATATGAGGACCAATAAATTTAACACATAAATTATATTTTATTGAATTGAAGATTTATATTTTGAATAATTTATCTGATAAAAAAATCTCAATTATTTTTAATGAGTTGTGTTGAGTTCATATTAAAAATATATAAATTACTAATGCAAATGAAAAAAATAGAAAAATATAGAAACATTTCAGCATTGACAGTCTCACAAACATTTTAATAGAAATCAACTGAGAAATATTCACAATTAACTAGTTATCAAGAAGAATAAAGATTAAGTTACTGAAATTATTTTTGCAAAATAGGAGATTGTGGTAGGAAGATGAAAATCGCGGAATGTTCGAATTTTCAATACATAAAATAGCATTATAAAAAGATAAGTAAATGAATTGGTTCAAAAAATTAAAAGTAAGTATTAGGTGTTGGCAACCCTTGATCAATTTATTGTTTTTTAAAAAACTAGTTCTTTGAAGAAAATCTGAATCAACATCCTATGAAAAACGTTCACAAAATAGAGGATATACGATGAAAAATTATTGAATTACTAAATGACCAATACAAAATAGGATCATGGAAAAATTTAGTGTTTTTTTGAATTACTCATTATAAAAATTAAAACAAAGATTTGATCCCAATTAAAAAAATGTATGGATGGACAACCCTTATTATAAAAGTTTTTTTTTTTTAAAGAAATTTAATAGCGACAAGCTATGAAAATCTTACTCAAAATTCAGTGAAACGATGAAAGTGGGATGAAAAATTATTCGATTACTAAAATGACTATAATAAGGGTTTGTGGCAGGAAAGTGAATTTTATGCTCGTATGAAAAAGTAAAATAAAAGATATTGGTTCAAAAAATAAAAAAAGGGAACCCTTACCACTTAGGGATAGGAAAATAAATTTTGGCCGATTCTCAGCCATACTGTAAGTAATTATAAAATTTGATATAAATCAGTCAAACCGTTTCGAAGGAGTATTGCGACGAAGGGATCGTTCAAGTACTACGTAAGCAGATTTATTGCAATTATTTACCCCCCCCCCCATCCTCCCTGTCAGCAAAGTAAGCAAAGCTCTTACCTCCTACCCCATGCTTACGTAAACATTTTGCAATTAATGTATTGTTTTTTAAATATTGTAATTATTAGGTTATAATTAAATTTTAAAAATAAGAAAGTAGGTTTAGGATGTAGAGATTTTACTCATATGGTATTCAACATAGAGTAACAAAATTATTATAATCATACGAAATAACAAACTTATTTTAACTTTTGGTACTGGCAAAGACAATGTAAGGTTGCCATTCGGTTAAAAAAATAAAAATACTACCTATGACGTAATCATCATCCGGACTCCCTATGTCAATCCAAATAAGCAAATCCATAACCCCCCGCCCCTATAGTGCTTACGTAATACTTGAACGGCCCCGAAAAACGTGACACGATAACTCTATATATGTTATGTATAGATATTAATTGAATTCAAAAGTTTAAATAAGAATATAATAAAAAAAATAAAACAAATTAATTTTGAATATCTACGAGGAAGGGTCCAGAAATCCTTAAAAAATCGATGACGTAATTAATGAACGCCCCCCTAAGATATATAAAATTTAAAATTAGTCGATAATAATAACGCAGCCGGTAGTTTATGAATTATAAATGACATGCCAAAAATGACAGACCTGCACAGTTCTGTTTGTTGCGTTGGCCTGCGGGATAGTAGCTATTAGGGAATGCAATAAGGATGGAAAATTTCAATACCGGTATTTCGGTAATTTTTCATTTTAAAACCGGGATACCGGTAAACTACCGGTATTTTTATTATCAAATACAAACGTAAACAAAATTGAAAGTTACTGGTACAAATATAAAAAAATGTATATACAACTACAACTATATTCAACTAAACAATAAAAACAATAAAATAAAACAATAGGTTAATTTTTTTAAATAATAATTTAACAAAATTATATACAATTTAATTAATTCATTATCACTATCGAGTATATTGAGTACTTTTCACCAAAAACAAACTTATGAGTAAGAAAGACCAAAAACTCATAAAAGATCATATTACATTATTATAATAAACTGTATTGTCTGTATCCGATGTGTTAAATTAGCATAATCTCCAAGATTTAAAAAGAATTCTACACTAATATAGAAGATACTTTGTCAAGATAAATAATAAGTTACTATAATTGTTGAGTATTGTTATTTAAAACAATGTGATGCTTCTATAGTATTTTCAAACTTCAAAACGTTTTCGAAAAATAATATTTTATAATTGTAATAAGAAGCAAAAATATTTAGTAATTAACATAATTATTATGCATAAAGTTAGAAAAAAATAAAGATTACGCAGGGGTAATCTGTATGATATAAAATATTTTGGCGCAAATATCACTTAAAAAACCATTACATTTTTACATAAGATAAATAAAACATCATTATCTATCAGTCCAATTCTATTTATTGTAACACGATATGAAGCCCTTAGTAAAGCAATAAATATTCAGTTTAATGACGAGTTGAGATAATATTTGACATTTGTTTATCCTATAGAATCACTTGAAGATATAGCTGTTTATGCGATTATGGAATTTAAAGATAAATTTGTTCCGAGAAATTTAAACTTTCGTGTATTATGTATCAAATAGCGCTTATGTAAAAATACCGAAAATAACGGTATTTTTGGGGTAAATATCGGTAAAAATACCGCCAAAAAATCGGGCGGTTTACCGATAATTCGGTATACCGGTATACCGGTATTGCATTCCCTAGTAGCTATAACAATATTATGCAGAGCGAATAGTTTAAGATCCTATTGAAAGACGCCTGTAACTAGTTACCCCTGTTACAGCTAGCCCCTAGCTCCCCGTATATCATAAAACGCTCAAAAAATTCAAAACATTACCCTGGCAAACTAATCGGAGAAAAATGTTATAACAAAACATAATTCCGTTCTAGAGTGAATCTTTCTTTGTTTGAATCCTCGAGTTATCTCGTATCAGCAATCGTGTCGCGATCTGTTCGCCTTACCTTCATTCGTCTCTATACATCAGATGGGTAGATGATCGGGTGAATGATAGCTATGATGGACCAACCATTGTGCACAACTAATTTCAAATCTGGTGCCGCCAGATAGTACTGATCGCAGAGGAATCGCGCGTTCTCGTACGCATCTCGCACCACGGACGCCGGGTCGCACACCGGGTCGATGCATCCTATGTGCCGGCCCTCGCGGCGGCCACCACCGAAGAGCAGTGCTGGAAGCGAAAAAAAACGAGGGTTCAATGAAAATTCAACTGCTGGCATTCATTTATATGAAGAACAGAAAGATGAAACCCTTAATAGTTCTTTATTTTTAACATTCGATTCGAATGTTATAATATAAATAATTAGATTAGATGTAATAAACTAGTGGCGCGCATGGCATCGTGCCTTAAGGCAAATTGCTGGAACTTAAAAAAAGATTAACATTTTTGAAAGAAATTTACTTTTGAAAAAAATAGATTTTTGAAAAACTATAAATTTTTGACAAAAAATTACTTTTTTTTAAAAAAAGACTTTTTGAAAAAAAATGTTTTCTTTATTTTGAAATATTTTGGAAATTCTGAACTTTTTTCAAAGCAATCATACTGCTTTAAGGGGTTAGGGGTACTTGGAATTTTTGAAACATCGATTTTTATTTTTTTGCATTTTCATTAAATGTAATATCTTGAAAATGTTCTCTGAAAATTTCAAGTTGATCCGATGATTACTTTTTGAGTTTTTAGACTCTTACCAACGCGTTGACGCAAGTTGAGAGCTCGATACTTATACTCAAGAATATTCTCCCTTACCTCCTGATGTTTTAAAAGCTTTTAAACCGATTCACGATGATCTCAGCAATGATAATTTACTTTCAAGATGTGTAGTTCAAGATTGAATCCATAATCAGAAAAAATTAAAAGCTTCAACCAACTAGTGTAAAAAATATGCCTAAAAACCGTGATAACTAGTTTTACTATCGTAAAAATTGCTGATTGCGTATACATAATCATTATTATTGATTATGGATACCCTAGGACCTAATTGTGGGTATAAATCCCATTGGTATGCTGAAAAATTGGATGCTGCACGTGTGAAATTGGCAGATCAGCGCGCCAACGAGAACACTCGGGAGGCCAGAATGCTTCGTAGGCAACAGCAAATGGAAATTTTGAAAACTTGCACAATTACTGATGAACTATTATATGGCCCAAAAATAGAGACAAAATATCGAAGCGCGTAAGCGCCGCGTCGCCGTCTAATGGATAAACATTGGTACGGAACCTATAGGAATGTAATCAAAATTTATACTTATTGTTAAAATCTCTATAAAATATCTGATAATTTGATGTGCGTATGTCTAATGATCATTTTTGACCGCCAAATGGCATTTTTTTTACTTTTTTCACTAGATCTCAGAAACCGCTAGACCTGCCTCTTTGAAAACTTTATCAATTCTTCATCCTGTCAATAAAAGTAAAATGTTTTTTAAGTTATTGAAATCGGACGCTGCGTTCTCATAAAAACTGAGTTACCATTTGTGGCACTTTTTGTCCCAAACGAAACGGCTAGACCTACTTATGTCAAAAGCTAATCAGCACGTCTCCTTATCAACAGCAATCGAATGTTTTTTGAATTATTCAAATTGGTTGATCCGTGTTCCCGAAATTGTCGACGAAAATTTGTATCCGCACACACACACATACATCCATAGACAGATTTGCGAGAGAGGTGCTAATTGATCTGCGTTCTATGGAAAGAGAAAGGGCGAATGGGACTTCGCCCATTTAAAAGTTGAGTATAAGTTTAGGAGTTATAACATTCATTATAGCAAGTTAAAAATTATAACATTCTAGATCCTCCCCCCACGAAGTAATGCCTAACGGCGGTTTCCGTGGGGACCAGAGGCAAAGACAAAGCGGAGGTTTTAGTCGGTATTATACCAGGGCGGTTTGAGTCCGACATACCCAGACAAAACACCAGTCCGGGATGCATAAAGGCATTTCCTTCGCTATACAAAAAAACACATACTATTTTTTTTTCTAAGGTATGCCAAAATATTCAGAAACCTCTGAAACGTAAAAATATATAAAAATTTTCATTTTCGATTTTTTGCGATTACTATAACTTACCTTACGGGAAGTTAATATTTTTTTTTATTTATTTATTCATAAGAAGAAATAATTAGATGTGGCGAGCATAGCTCTTTGGTAGCGTGTTCGATTCACACGACAGGGATCTTCGGATCAAATCCTGTCAATGACATAGAATTTATGAAAAAATAATATGTGTAGTTAATTTGAAATAAAATAAAAATTGTATTTGTTAAATAGAATTTGAATAAAAATTAAGAAAAATAGGTATAACAGAATTCGAACAGTTGAATTGATCTGGGAGTAAGAAGAGGAATATTGCAACTTGAAAGAAGAATGAAGAAAAAAATGGTATGAAGCTGAAAGTTAAATAGAATTAGAAATTTGAAAAAGAACAAGAATTGAAGAAAATAATAAGAAAAAAAAATTAAGAAGAATATAGAATAGGATACATAAAATAGATTGAAAATGATATAAAAATTAGAATTGTAACTAAAAATAAAAAATGTTGTAGGTGGCTAAATGCTCAGAGTAAGCAAGACCAAATAAAAAATTAAAAAAAAAATAATTAGATATATTTACGTTACTATATTGTTGAGTCGGTACTATGATTTCCTAAAAACAGCTGAACCGATTTCTAAAATCTTATTTATCAGGTAGATTATTTAAACGTTTATGCAACTTGCCTTAAGGCAAAATGCCACTTGCACCTTGCACCTGGTTTAAAATATATGTTTCTGTTTTTTAACATTGAATTTTCTATTAAATTCACATAAAATTTGAAGCAGCTCCTAGACATATAACCACACCCAAAAATAAGTGCTGTATTAACGTCATTGCACCATTTTCAAAAACCACAAAACTAAAACATTCACACAACCAAACTCAAATTAGCTAATCTAATTTCTAACTCCCCGAAGATGTTTATTTACACTAAAAAATCCGGATTTCAACCGGTGTTAACTGATTTTTCAATCTTAGTCCTTATCTAGTCTCCTGAAAAATCCTGAAACGATTTTAAAAATTCAAAAACTGTTCGAAAGATATTGGTCGGAAATCGTGCTAATTAGTTTTTGATTAAGGTTGACCGGTCCGTTCTTCGTAATTAATTGTTGAAATATTTTTATACGGTTTTAATAAAACTTTTTATGACTATTGATTTCATGGTCTTGAGAAAAATATTAAAATATAACTGAATTTGAAAAAAAAGGTTTGGAAAAATGAGCAGAGTTTTTGTGTTGTAAACCAAGTTTAGACCAATCGTCGATGTTTTCTTAAAAACGGCATTCGATGAAACTTCAAAAGAACTCGCGGTGATAGTTTTGCGATCTGATAGAACGAACCAGAAAAGTGTAAAATCTTTCGTTCACGTTTTTGCAAAAAAATTCTGAACCGATTCAGAAAAGTTAAAAGCCATTCGAAGCATATCATCTTGGATCCAAAATTTTTAAGCCGTTTCTTCGTACAAAAAGTTATTTGCTACTTTTAAGGAACATAGCGATGCGGTATTCATGATCTAACAAAATTAACAAACATCCTGAAATATTAGAGGCCTACGAGAAGTGCTTTAGTTGTGAAAATTCAATAAAGTTCGGAATAATAGCTACACTTTTAGGATATTCCCATTCCCTTTAGGATAAGTCATAGTAATCGCAAAAAAATCGAAAATAATTTTTTTTATATATCTTTATGTTTCAGAGGTTTCTAAACATTTTGGCACACTTAAAAAAAATGGATGTATGTGTGTGCGAAATTTTTGGAAAAGGTCCTGCCGATTCAAAGATACGAGGCAAAGGGTGCCAAAAATGGTAATTCAGTTTTTAACAGAACGAAGCGTCCCATTTGAATAATTCAAAAAACATGTTACTTTTATTGACAAAATAAAGATTTGATTAAATTTTTGGGAAAGCAAGCAGTTTCGGAGATCGAGTAAAAAAATTTAGTCGTCGAAAATGATCATCAAACATATGCATGCACATCAATTATCAGACATTTTATAGATATTTTAATAATAAGTATACATTTTGTTTACATTTTGTTTACAAAAAATCATTTTTTTCAAATAGAACTTTTTCAAAGTTTTAAAATTTTTTTGAATAACTTTAAAAAAAATAATATTTGGTACAGAAAGTACCAGCAATTTTCCTTAAGGCGCTATGCCATACATCACTAGTTCAGACAATTATTTACACGTATCGGGAAGTTCATACAACTTGTCGACAGCGAGGAATCTCCTACAAGAAGATTGAAAATAATGGCCAGACGATCTTAAATGAAATGTCAAAAAATAAAAAAAATAAATATCTCATAGGAGATAATCTCTTTAAATGCATTTACACCCAGCATGTTGTCTTAAAAAATTATATTATTTTGATCGGCAATAAATCTATGCAAAAAAAACTTGTCGATAAAATACCACTTACACCTAATTACACATTTGAATATTAAGTACGTACTGTGTTGATTTATGAGCATTCTTATGGATATTCTGGACATGTAGAGTCGATCCAAGAAGTACTGGATCGATAATTCCACTGGTGGATCGATAGCGTCCGTCCTGTCTTTCAGTTCAAGAACTCCCTGAGCCATGGTCTGCACAACATCAGCATGACGATCGCGTATCGTCGACAACACTGTGCAGAACCTGAAAATATAATGGATCGATTTAAATTATTAACTTTGAATAAATTATTAACGTTGAGTAAATTATTGAAATTTAAACTAGCTGTAAGTGGAATTCTGTCTTAAGGCAATGGGCATCGTGCCTTAAGGCAAATTGCTAGAACGATTAATATTTTTGAAAAAATTTTACTTCGAAGCAATTAAATTTTTGAGAAACTAGGAATTTGACAAAAAATTACTTTTTTTTGAAAAAAAAAATTTCTTTTGAAAAAAAAGTTGTCTTTATTTTGACATATTTTGGAAATTCTGAACTTTTTTTCAAAGCAATCGTACTGCTTTAACTGCATAGAGACGGAATGTCAAAGCGCGTAAGCGCCGCGTCGCCGTCTAACGAATAAATATTGGTACGGAACCAATAGGAATGCAAACAAAATTTATACTTATTGTTAAAATCTCTATAAAATATCTGATAATTTGATGTGCATATGTCTAATGATCATTTTTGACCGCCAAATGGCATTTTTTTTTTACTTTTTTCATTAGATCTCCGAAAGGCTAGACCTGCCTTTATAAAAATTTGATCAGTTCTTCATCTTGTCAATACAAGTAAAATGTTTTTTGAATTATTAAAATCGGACGCTCCGTTCTCTTAAAAACTGAGTTACCGTTTTTGGCACTTTTTGCCCCATATCTTCGGAACGGCTAGACCTGCCTTCGCCAAAACTAATCAGCACGTCTCCTTATCAATATAAATCGAACGTTTTTTATTTACTTAAATCGATTGATCGGTGTTCCCGAAATCGTCGACGAAAATTTGTATCCGCACACACACACACACACGCACACATACATCCATTTTTTTAAGGTATGCCAAAGGCTTTGAAACGTAAAGATACATAAAAATTTTCATTTTCGATTTTTTTGCGATTACTATAACTTGCCCTATGGGAAGTTAAAAATCTAACAAAGAATTATTTTCAATGTTAAACTTATTAGTATAGTAGTATATTCGGTTGTTTGCAATAATTGTTCCTCACAATCTGACCTCACAATACGACAACATGAGCTTAGTCCATCATAAACAAAGAAACTATAAAAGCATCAAGGTTCAACACTCTGTCCCCATTCTCAAAAATTCCCACCCAAAAATCGAAAATTAAAATGTTTATATCTTTACAATTCAAAAGTTTGTGAACGTTTTTCTGAACACATTTCAATTAGATAAATGGATAAATGTGCATGTGTGTGTGTGTTCGGATACAAATTTCCCGATTTCGGGAACACGGTTCAACCGAATAATTTTTTTTTTATAATTTATTCTGCAATCTGTTTTACATGATCATTAACATTAAGCAGAGATTGCTAACAATAATTATCTTACAATATAAACCAGAAGATAGTAGCAACACCCAGCGGCGTGTTTACTAGGTATAAGGACGAATTATCTATACTCGAAGTATTTGCTGACATTTTTATTATATGTGCAACTACTATACCCACAAGAGGGGATTTTCACTTGATGCTATATTTGAGATCTATGACCTCAAGTGGAAATTTGACATCAAAGTTGCCTGATCGAAAATCGAACCAGCGGAAATCGAACCAGCGAACCCGAGACTAGTTGGTGCTAGTCCACGTTCTAACCATATCGCCACCGCTGGCCCACCAAATAAATGATTCAAAAAACATTCGATTGTTATCGATTCTTTGTTATTTAGCTGTAAGTTGAACATTAGAAGATAATTTTTGCGCAGTCCACGTTCTAACCGATATCGCCACCGCTGGCACACCAAATAAATGATTCAAAAAAACATTCAATTGTTATCGATTCTTTGTTATTTAGCTGTAAGTTGAACATTAGAAGATAATTTTTGCGTAGAAGCTTAGTCATAACTATGATTTGTTTTCAAATATGTGCGTTGGTAGTGACTAATTTTGTGGGTACAGTTGTGACATATATTTCTTGTCCGTTTCAGGTAAAGATTGAGTAGACAAAAAAAACTAACTTAATTAAAACAAAATACGAAGAAGAAACGGCAAATTCAATAGAAAAAAAATCTAATAAATTCTTATTTTACCTTGGTTTAAAAAATTATGTTTTGTTATATATTGTTATATTTTATACATAAGCTTTGTTTAAATGAATATGTTGTGTTGTGTTACAGATTATTATTATTAACGACAATGTAAGTTCTTATAACTATTGTTTTTTTACCATATTTTAAAGCCTGTCACAAATATCCTCTTTAACCATTTAATTTATTTTTTCTTCAGCTACCTATTATTTTTTTTAAATTATTTCTGATCAAAAAAAAAGTGGCACAGCCATACCCAGTCTTTTCAACTGAACTTAATCAAATTTATCACTAAAATCTCTATAAGATATCTGATAATTTCATGTGCATGTGTCAAATGATCATTTTAGATCGCCAGATGGCATATTTTTTGGATTTCCGAAACCGCTGGACCTACTTTCCCAAAAATTCAATCATTTCGTCAATACATGTGAAATGTTTATATTGAATCATTCAAATTGAACGCTCCGTTCTCTTAAAAACTGATTTGCCGTTTTTTGCTGTTTTGCCAAAATAACATTTTTAACTTCCCGAAGGAGAAGTTTATGTTTTCATCAAAAAATCCGATTCGCTAATTTTATGTTTTCTCGACGTTTCAAGCCATTCTGAATCGAATGAGACCAAATTTGGAAAAAGTATGTGTGTGTGTGTGTATGTGTGTGTGTGTGTGTGTGTATGTGAACAGATTTTTTGCCGTAAATCGACGTTTTCTCAAAAATGACTGGACCGATTTTAAAAATTTAAAAGCCATTCGATGTATCTCGATGAGGACTATCGTCTCTGAGTTTTGTGCGGCGATCAGCCGGGCCGTTTCGTTGTAAATTGCAGAAAAGTGAAAAATTTTTCGCCCACGTTTTAGCCCGCAATTCTAAATCGATTCTGAAAATTCAAAAACCATTTGATAGATATTGGTTGGGAATCGTGCTGATTAGTTTTTGGTAAAGATCGGCCGAGCCGTTTTCTTGTAATAACGTTTTAAAAAAAAAAAATTCGACGATTTTTAACTTCCCGTAGGGCAAGTTATAGTAATCGCAAAAAAATCGAAAATGAAAATTTTTGCATTTCTCGACGTTTCAAAGGTTTCTGAATATTTTGGCATACCTTAGAAAAAATGGATGTATGTGTGTGTGTGTGTGTGTGTGTGTGTGTGTATGTATGTATGTATGTATGTATGTATGTATGTATGTATGTATGTGTGTGTATGTATGTGCGGATACAAATTTTCGTCGACGATTTCGGGAACACGGATCAACCGATTTGAATAATTCAAAAAACATTCGATTCGTATTGATAAGGAGACGTGCTGATTAGTTTTTGGCGAAGGCAGGTCTAGCCGTTCCAAAGATACGGGGCAAAAAGTGCCGAAAACGGTAACTCAGTTTTTAAGAGAACGGAGCGTCCGATTTGAATAATTCAAAAAACATTTCACTTGTATTGACAAGATTAAGAATCGATAACATTTTCATGAAGGTAGGTCTAGCGGTTTCGGAGATATGGAGGAGAAGAAGTAAAAAAATGAGCCATTTGGCGGTCAAAAATGATCATTAGACATATGCACATCAAATTATCAGATATTTATAGAGATTTTATCAATAAGTATACATTTTGTTAACATTCCTATGGGTTCCGTACCAATGCTTATGCGTTAGACGGCGACGCGGGGCTTACGCGCTTTATATTTTGTCCCTATGCAGTTAAAGCAGTACGATTGCTTTGAAAAGAAAGTTCAGATCTTCCACAATATGTCAAAATAAAGAAAAAAAAATTTTTTTTCAAAAAAAAAAAATTAAATTTTTTTTTTTTAAAAAAATTTTTTTTTCAAAAAAAATTAATTTTTTGTCCAATCTATAGTTTCTCAAAAATCTTATTTTTTCAAAGTAATTTTTTTTCAAAAATAATCATTTTTAAAAAAATAATAATTTTTGATACGGGAAGTTCCAGCAATTTGCCTTAAGGCACGATGCCTTAATTGCCTTAAGACAGAATTCCACTTACAGCTAGTTATGATTTTTTTTTTGACGTTAGATACCATAGTTTTCTAGGTCATACTAAAATATTACGGCCCTACGACAACTCGTTTAGCTTTAAAAATTCGTCAAAGTTTGCAAAAATTGGTATAGTTTTTTTGACATTTGTCAAAATTAGACTTTTGATCGACGTTTTCTCAAAAACGCCTGAACCGATTTCAGAAATTTAAAAGCCATTTGATGTATTTCGGTGAGGACTATCGTTTGTCAGTTTTGTGCAACGATCTGCCAAGCCGTTTCTTTGCAATTTAAAAAAAAGTGTTAAACTTTTCGTCCATATTTAAGCTCATCCTACCGAACCGATTTTAAAAAAATCAAAAACTGTTCGAAAGATATTAGTTGGGAATGGTACTGATTAATTTTAGGTGAAAATCTACCGAGCCGTTTTCTTGTAATTAACTGTTGAAAAAAAGTGTTAAATTTTTGTCCTCATTTAAGCTCATCCTACCGAACCGATTTAAAAAATCAAAAACTGTTCGAAAGATATTAGTTGGGAATGGTACTGATTAATTTTAGGTGAAAATCTACCGAGCCGTTTTCTTGTAATTAACTGTTGAAAAAAAGTGTTAAATTTTCGTCCACATTTAAGCTCATCCTACCGAACCGATTTTAAAAAATCAAAAACTGTTCGAAAGATATTAGTTGGGAATGGTACTGATTAATTTTAGGTGAAAATCTACCGAGCCGTTTTCTTGTAATTAACTGTTGAAAAAAAGTGTTAAATTTTCGTCCACATTTAAGCTCATCCTACCGAACCGATTTTAAAAAATCAAAAACTGTTCGAAAGATATTAGTTGGGAATGGTACTGATTAATTTTAGGTGAAAATCTACCGAGCCGTTTTCTTGTAATTAACTGTTGAAAAAAAGTGTTAAATTTTCGTCCACATTTAAGCTCATTCTATTGAACCGATTTTAAAAA